GTTTCAACCTCTGAACTGTGATCTTTAACCTGAACAAGTCAGATTTTCATCACTTTATTCAATGAAAAATAAAAGAAAGGAAGAAAATGATCTTTTACATAAGGCCTCTCAAGGGAAAAATCATAATTAAAATATAACAAAGATTTTACTTAATGATTGAAAAAATAAAATTAAATGACAACAAAAATAAGATCTATGATAACCTAGAAACATCAGTAAACCCAACCAAACCTTTTTAGTCTGCTCTTTCTTCACAGGAACCTTTAAATCTTTAGTCAGAGGCAACTATCACCACATTACCACCACTAACCATTCATTCAGACGTTGCTTTTGTCACTATTTTAAATACACTCACTGTCTACACACATTTTTTTGCAAACCAACCACTAGGATGATGAAATGGCACACATCATTTTTTTGCGATGACAGTATTATTTATTTTAAATATCCAGACAGACATCTACAACTTTAGTCATTTTTCTATGCAGAAAATAGCTCACGTTTTGTATCCTGTACAAATGAAATTAGTAGCTACAGTCATACAGAATGAAAGGCCTCCCAGGAAATCACTTGTGACTGTAACATTAGTTCCACCCCTATAGCTTCAACATGATCCTGCTATGTAACTTTCCATTCCCTCCTCCAATTCCTTCTTTCTCTTTTCCTTTTTCTCTTCTTCTACATGTTTTCTCCCTTCCTCTCAAATACGTAATGGCTCTTCAGCATCACTGTCTCACTTGCCATTTCTCTCCAGCTGTATCTCTCCTCCTTGCTCTCCTTGTGGAGGGGGAAAACATTACCCTACCCTCACAAAGATGCTTCTCTTGAGTGGAAATTACTGGCGGAGATTAATAACGACATTAGGCAGTAATGATGCTGCACAGAATGAAATATTTATTAAAGATCCCTCTGCTAGCAATTAGCATGGCATGTAATCGTTCAGCACAAGAAATCAAGATGATTGTGCCGCAGTCCCCCAACCCCTTATCGCCCTCTTCTCAGCCGACCCCCTGCATTGCCTCTAGTCTTCCAACCCCCACTTTCTGCCGCCATCCCAGCAAACATTTGCTGCCTCTTCCCCTGGCATCATCTCGCCATGACAACAGTAGCTGGGGGAGGTTGTTTAATTTGTGTGTTGAAGGGTGGCAATGGTCCTGGGCATTCAAATCTTAAATACAGGCACTGGAAAGCTGGGATAATGCTCCACCAGGCAATTACACTGTCAGGGATGTGGACATCAGGAGGCGCTGCTGATTGGCTCAGGAGGATGCTTGAGTCAAACCGCAGGCGCGTCAAACAATGCTGCTGTTTGGTCTTTGTTCCAAATTCCTGCCAAGTTGTCCAGGGTAGAAGCATCATGAGAGAAAAATATTATTAGATGCTTGTCTTTGCATACTGGAGTCCACGTCTGCCTAAAGGGACAGCGTATCACAACTTTGGTACAAGTTTTTCTTCCCAGAGCTTTGACTTGCTAACTTTTTTGGGAAACCTTTAATGCAGCAGTGATAAAACAGATGTGGTTGGCACAATTTAACCAAACAAAATAAAATAAAAAAAACAACTAAAGCTTATGTGACACATAATCAGTTACATTAAAATAAAACAATTCTCCCTGAGGTGATACAATCCTTCAGAGTCGTTTGAAGGATGAGCTCCCCTCGAGGACACACTTGTTTGTGTTCAAACATGCGTGACCTCATTTTCAAGTCTTCACCTGAGAGGGACAATAGAGAGAAGGAGGCGTGAAGAGCACGATGAGGAGGATTAAAAGGAACAGGGAGGATGCAAAGGGAAAGGGGTTGTAGCGACAAGAGAGTTCAGAGGTCAGGTAATCAAACGTGTCCATTTATTGGCTACATCATCAAACCTCAAGGAGCTCATCAGTGCGGTCGTCCAGGTGTTCGGTCGAACTATTCCGCTCTCAGAAGCGGTGTTTAGCCATGCAGATGTCATCTTTGGAAAGACAAGAAACATACAGATAAAAAGAAAATGAAGAAAAGAGAAGAGAACAAAGGGGTGTGAACAAAGGGAGGGACGGATCAATTTGCAATAATATGGACTCCTGCAACAAAGACGGGACATGAAGCTAGCGCGTTAAGCAATGCTCTTGTATGAACTTTGGCAATCAATAAACATCGGGGGGGGGGGGGGGGGGGGGTCAGAGCGAAGAAACAGCAGAGAAGAAAAGGATGAGCGAGAGCGACAGACGACAAGAAAGGAAATAATGATTGAAGATAACGTTGATGTGAGGAGTTCTTTGTTTGACAGCGTTTGTTGCTGCTCCTCGCCCGTATTCTTAATTAGATAGTTATCTTTAGCCCTTTGATGAATTCGATAAGCTGTTAATTAATCTTGAGATCTAATTAACTGTTGTGCTATTATTAGGCTGGGCCACATAATTGTACATTTGACTTTTTAAGTGCTGCACAAAGCTTCAGGCCTGAGGAGAAAAGTGGCTAGTTTTCTTAGGCTTTTGGCAGGTTGGAAACATTTCAGAATAAAACTCCCTCCTGTCACTTCAAATCAAAACTCCACAACAAGCACCGGTTATGGAACAGGTACAAGTCCACTTTGTGCCTTTTAAGTGTGATTTTATAGCAAAATGAGTAAAAGTCACTTCATGTTTTAATTTCAGAAAACTTAAAAGAACAACTGCTTTCAGATGATAATCATCTATTGTTGAAACAAACGTGCAGCATTAAATAAACACGTGTGTGTGTGTGTGTGTGTGTGTGTGTGTGTGTGTGTGTGTGTGTGTGTGTGTGTGTGTGTGTGTGTGTGTGTGTGTGTGTGTGTGGGAGGGGGTAATAAACAATTACACAAACTTTAGTTTAGATATAAATGTGGCTAAATGATTATAATGCATCAGTCAGTCAGTCTTTATGTTTCCTTTGTCCTTCATATTGACTTTAGCTTTACCACCTGTAAATATTTCTGGTCTTCATGTGAAGAGGGTGTTTCCTATAGCATCACATCCAAACTGGTTTCCCGTTGGCACAGTCAATCCACCTTGACCTTATAAGAACACGGACAGAGGGAGAAAACTAGATCTGCAGAAAGATAGGAAGGAATTTTAATTATTCATATAGAGATTAGTCATTAGAAATGAGAAACTTCTAATTTAAATGTTCTAAAGAGGTTTACTAAAATAAAAGTTCCCAACTTTTAGGGAAATTTAATCCATGTTTGAAAGGTTTTTTAAAAAAAAAGTTGTTAGATCAACAATTCTATTGAGATATCCTTGAAACATGGCGACTGCTGTTGGTAACGGAGTGTATCTGGTGTGACTAAGTTCTTTTATGCATTTTTACTTTTATAGTAAATTTTCACACAATGAAATTATTTGACAAAAAAATCACTTATTTTAAAATGCAGTAGATGATGTTAGGCTGGTAGGGTGGGGACTATACGATGGAAAAGAGTAAAACTATCCTGAAAGGTTCAACAAAGAATCTAAATCGCAGATTAGCAAAGGGATCTGTATTTCTAAGGTGTGTTTTTGGCCTCTGCTCTCTGTCAGGGTTTACACATTTAAATTTGACATCCACAGTTCTGAAACTAATTAATCCAATTTAAATGAGTGCCTTTACAGAAGTGTTTAGGTACAGATTAACTGTTTCTCTGTTTCACCTGCATGGTGTCGCACTTTAGTCTCTAAACCGGACCTGGTTCTGAGCCATCTTGTTGGTGCAACGCACACACACACACACACACACAAACACACACACACACGCACACACGCACGCACGCACGCACGCACGCACGCACGCACACACACACACTCACACACACACACACACACACACACACACACACACACACACAGCATCCCCGCTGGGACCAGGGAGCTTCATTTGCATTATGATGGCAGGCAGATTAAGTACATTCCACTGAACACTAAAGGGACTAACAATAACTCACACACTCACCCCAACACGTGTGTTTTTGGGCCAGTAAGGCAGACCTGGAACAGAACTGGTACCCAGTGCAGAGCACCAATCCCATTACTCTCTGTGTCCTCCACTGTCCCCATCCCTCTCAAGAGAACAAAGGACGGCAACATAGACTGGATCCAAACTTCACTAACTCAGGATGCGAGGAGGACGAGGAGAGCAGAGACTGACGGAAAAGAAGGAAATAAGGGAGGGCGTCTGGGCTGATGCTGGAGAAGGAGAAGTGACTCTGACAGGCAGCTAGAAAGACTAAGCTTATTTAGATAAATTGACATCCCCAGCTGAGATAAAACCAGTGATGATTTGTACTGAATCTTCAGTGGTTGAAAGCCATTCCACTGGATTTCAGAAGGCCACAGTGTCTTGGGATTTGGAGGGCACAAAGCGACTGTGTAGGTTTCAGCATGGAGGGATGGGTTTCTGTGGAAAGGGATGAAGGGTGACTCCCACCAGGAGAGGGAAATAAAATCCTGTCAATACTAGGAAATGTGAAACACAACACAATAGAGCTGTGAGAGGTGAGGCCAGGGCCTGCTTTGTTTCAGCATGCTGCATCCTTTTTCACAGAAACAAATCAGCTGTTTAGGGCTGAACTTTACTTTTATTCAGTCTAGTTGTTTCAGCTAAACCTGGTTATTTTAAACATAAAAAAACCATGATAGCAAACAGAGTTAAGTTTAAATGGTTTTGATCATTTGACAAAAAAATTGGTTGGCTTAGTTGTAACAAATGAAGCTAAATTAGGTTTAGTCGCCCGCCTAGACAGTCGGTTTTACATGACTTACCACTCATTCTCAGCACCTTCAGGCTTAAGTGGGCCTGCCTCTGTTTTCCAATACAGTTGCTCTCTAGTATAAATGAATGCCTCGTGAGTCAGTCTCTGTAGAAATAAGCTCTGGTGCTCTTAGTAAAAGTTAGTCAGAAAGGAGAGTTAGTCTTTCTTTAGACATAGGCTGCGTCTCAATTCAGGGTCTGCATCCTACGTCGGTCGGTTACGTCACAGCGCCGCAACTAGGCCTGTCCCAATTCGAAGACTCCTTCAAATGCGGTCAACGAATCCGGCCTTCTTTTCGCCTGAATGAAGGATGGGTCCGGTGTATCCTTCAATAGGTAGCATTTCCCAAGATGCCTTGCGGGCCGGCCGGCAGAAAAACTTAAAAACAATGGCGGACAGTGAAGCGGGAGCTGTCGGAGAGGATTGCGCATATAAATGTCAGTATAAACTTGAAAACTGTTAGGTTAAGGACTTTTTGTGATACATGAACGTTATTTTAGTTAGAAATGTTACAGTAAAAGTGCTTGTATTGCGGTCTCGGCTCGTATGTTCAGCCGCGCTCGGTGTCGTATTTCTCCCGCTACGTTTTCCCCTGATTTTAATAGAAGTTTGTATTTTAGGAACAAAAGAGAAAACCAGGGAATTTATTAAGCTTAGGGCGGAGATGGACCACATGATCACCGGAGCAAAGTATTCGGCGGCTGTGGCATGGAGGTACAATAACATCTCATGTTTTAAAAACTCGTTTGAGTTTATTTTTTCTGCGAAAACATGAAAGGAATAACCCGTTGTCCTCTTTTCTCTTCCTGTTTCTTTTCTTACATGTTTGTTAAGACTATTCTGGAGAAAATGGGCATCCAGGGGAAGGTGCCAGCGATGACCAGCTTCTGGAGCTGATCAGGAAGGACAAGAGGCTGCAGAGGGAGGCAGAGCAGCAGAGGGCCCAGGAGAGAAGGAAGAACTTTGACAGCTTTTTACTTTGCTAGAAAAAAATGGTTAATAAAGATTAAACATGTACATATAAAAGAAATATCTAAATAAAATCAGTTCTGCATCAAACCCTTGAATTTTATTTTGGTTTACAAATGAGAATTGTTTACTAGAGGGTATCCCGCTGGGTCTGAAAAGTCTTAAAAGGTGATAAATCGGTTTTGGTCAAATGAAGACCCTTAGAAAGTATTAAAAACTATTAACACATCTTTGCTCAGGCTCAGCTTGTCGAAAGTATTTTCTCCGAATTAGCTCTCCAACAGTCAAGGAAATGATTAAAGATCTAAATAGAACTTCGAGCTCCATTGTTTAAAGTTCCTTCTCCCTTCTGCTCAGCGGTTCCACGGTTGCTAGGCGACGGAACGTTCGCCGAGGGAGAGGCGGGAATTCATGACGGCTAGGCCTGTCCAAATTCACAGCCGTTAACATCCGGTCTACCCGGCCGACGGAGGACCCAGCCCACGTCGGCCGAGTAGGCTGGGTGCTTCGAAGGATGCAGACCCTGAATTGAGACACAGCCTTACTCATTATTATTTCCTGATGTTTTGACATCTCACTGCTGATAGGCTAACAACAACACGTCTCTACCAATGACTCTGTTCGCTCTGCACCTTTGATGTTTATCTCCACAAATAACACAAGCCTGCTCATCAGGCTTCCTGTCACTAATGTCATCATTTCATTTAAAACTAGTACAAAGTCCTCCAACTCACAAAGCTGGAAAAGCACTTGACCTCATTTTCACTAGAAACTGTGCCATAGACACAATCTCTGTTACACCGCTGCATCTTTCCGATCATTACTTCATCCATTTCAGCACGACTCTATGTCACACCCTGTCCTGTCACCCCATTTTGTTCAGCCTTGTGTCTCCGTTAATTGCTCCCACCTGCCTCTCGTTTCCCAATCACCTTAGCTCCCGGCCCTCGTGTATTTAAACCCCTTCTGTTCTGTGTCTTGTGTCGGATCATTGTTTCATTGTCCAGCGTGTCTCCAAATAAATGATTGTTAAATGTTCCTACCCGTCTGCCTGTCTTCCTCACCCCGTTTTGGATCCTCACCTCTTCTCCGCTTCATTCGCCGGCACGTGTGACACTCTACAAGGGAGGTCCACTGCTTCCTCCCCAATGGTCTCATTCCTCCGCAACCTCCGCAATCTGGCACCAAACTACTTCTCTCTTGTTGCCTCCACTCTTCCATCTCCCAGCACATTTTCTGCTTATGAAGTGAATGAAGCCACCGAGTCACTCTGCTCCACACTCTGCTCTTGTCTTAACAACTTGTGCCCTTTAGCCACTAGACCAGCTAGATCCTCTCAGTCGCACCCTTGGCTAAATGATACTGTAATAAAAGTAGCCGTGGGCAGCACGGGCAGAATATCTTGCCCTCCAGACAGAACCTGAACACACCACCAGTAGGCAACGGCTTATAAAAGACACACTTTATTGCACAATCAATAATAAAACACCATAATAGAACCCTGTAATAAAACACTATGGCCCGAGCCCCCTCTCCTAAAACCAACTGTCCGGCATGAGTCACACAAGCAGCGGTACTTAGCTGTCACAGATGGTGTGACACCCGTCCCCGGGGTCTGAGCTTCCAACGCCGTCCAACGCCCCGGGGTGTAGCTTGCGAGGACGGCGGGTACATCCACAACATAAGTCCACTGCCAGAGTCCGTAGCAGCAGATGTCGGCGTGGCCTTGGCATCACCTATGCCCAGCCCTAGCTGCCTAAAGAAGGCGACCAGCCTTCCCTCCTGACGCTGGAACTCTAAACACCTGTTTAGCTATCTTCGTCGCCGGCAGCCCTAACCGGCTGCGAATGACCCCACCCCCCAAAGTTCGATGCCACAATGACAGGTCGACCACGCACACCTCTCAGTAGGCCTGTCACCTTTTTATCCTCCCTGGCCTCGTTATCCGTAACGAGGACCAGCTGGTGTCCAATCACCACACCCTCGGAGCTCGGCAGCTTCCGTCTTCTGTCCATCACACTCTCCCCCTCTTTGTCCTGAAGGACTCGCCCTCGAGTCCTAGATCTCCACATGATAATCCTTATGCCAAACAGGGGGTCTCCTCTAACGAACCACGCGTTGCTCCACAGCTCCAGGTCCCTCGACCTTCTCAGGGATACGTCCTCTCGATCCTCTTCCAACTGCACCCCCTCGAGCAGCCTCTCCATGCAATGGGGCAGGGTTGCTTGAATCACCGGAGCCCTTCGTCTCCGAAAACCGTTGAGCACTCCTGCTGATGTCCTCCCAGGTGGCATCCGGCTGATGAACCACCCGCTGTTCCGCAGCTCCACGTCTGTCGATCTCCCCAGGGAGACGTCCTTCCGGTCCTCCTGCAGCAGCACCTCCTCGAGCAGCCTCTTCACGTGATGGGGCCGGGTCACTTGCGCCGCCAGACCTGCTCGTCTCTGCAGACCAATGATGAATCCTGCTGGTGTCCTCCCAGGTAGCATCCTGCTGACGCAGACTCTGCCTCGCTCGCTCTCGGGACCCCACAGCCAGCGGTGCTGCGACTGCTGAAAGAGAAGTGCATGGCTTAAGTCGGTTGAAATGAATCACCTTCTCAGGACCCCCCTCAACGGATATAAGCCTGTATAGCACATCTGTCAGTCGATCCAGAACCCTAAACGGTCCTTTATCTCGCCTCTGAAGCCTGGGACACACCCCTCGTCTCCTCAGCTTATTTCTGACCCACACTAAGTCACCTTCCGCGTAGAACCGGCGGGAGGCCCTAAAATCATGTGCCCTCATTTGTTGCACAGATGCTCTGCCCTGATGGCACTTCACCGCATCCACCATCGTAGTGAATGTTTCCTTCAGCCTCGTCACATACTTGTCTACTGAGGCAAAGGCTTCACCTATCCTGGCCTTCAAGTACCCAGCATTTCCTCTTCCTACAGGGGTCTCAACAACGGAGAAGGGGGCGGGCATTTGACCCACGATACACGCCCCCTCTAGTTTCCCTGCACGTAAGGGCAGTCCCGACGTAAATGCCGGTTACAGCCACACTCCCAGCAGCCTCCAAACCTCTCATTCCCTTCCCTCCAGGAATATTCTTGCCTAGGCTGCAAGGTTGTGTTCTGACTGTCACGACAGTGGGGACTAGATGCAGCAGGTACTGACAGTGTGTGCACCACTTTCTGGAGGGATTTCACCTCCTGTCTCAAGCTCTCAACCACCCCCATTAGCGAAGCAATGCTTTTATCATCAGCATCTTTCACAGTTATCCCCCTCACTCTTGCGTCCGATACTGAGCTGGACTCCAAGCTCTTAATGAGCTCAAGCTCCGCCGCTAGGTTGATGGCTGGTTCAAGCGACGCGGGCTTGGCACTCCGTAAACACACTCTCATGTCTCCATTCCCCACATGAGCTATAAACTGATCTTTAGCCAACATGTCTCGTGTATTGGGATCCACTGTCGGATAAGCTTTAACGACAGCCCGTCATAATGCCATCCCAAATTCTCGGACACTTTCATTATGCCACCTGTGTCGAGCGGAGAAAACAGCTCTATTCCAATCAGCGCTGTCACACGGATCCAAACACTTCCCCATTTGCTCTTTTAACATGGCATCATTAGCTTTAGCGCTCCCCGACAAGCCATTATAAACCTCTCGAGCCTTGTCAGACAACAGAAGACACAGAAACTTCAGCTTAAGGGGCTCATCCCAGTTATTTACATCGGCTGGCATTTCAAATTGTCCAACCCAGTCTGCCCATTCACGGCCAACACCGGAAAAGCTCTCCGGCATAAAAAATCGGCCGAGCCGCTGCGCTCACGGGCTGATTTTCGGCTGGTCTCAACGGAGGAGGTGCGTTATTTTCAGGTTCTGACATTTTGGATTGCTAGATCCCACTTCTGACACCAGTGTAATAAAAGTAGCCGTGGGCAGCACGGGCAGAATATCTTGCCCTCCAGACAGAACCTGAACACACCACCAGTAGGCAACGGCTTATAAAAGACACACTTTATTGCACAATCAATAATAAAACACCATAATAGAACCCTGTAATAAAACACTATGGCCCGAGCCCCCTCCCCTAAAACCAACTGTCCGGCATGAGTCACACAAGCAGCGGTACTTAGCTGTCACGGATGGTGTGACCCCCGTCCCCGGGGTCTGAGCTTCCAACGCCGTCCAACGCCCCGGGGTGTAGCTTGCGAGGACGGCGGGTACATCCACAACATAAGTCCACTGCCAGAGTCCGTAGCGGCAGATGTCGGCGTGGCCTTGGCATCACCTATGCCCAGCCCTAGCTGCCTAAAGAAGGCAACCAGCCTTCCCTCCTGACGCTGGAACTCTAAACACCTGTTTAGCTATCTTCGTCGCCGGCAGCCCTAACCGGCTGCGAACGACCCCACCCCCCAAAGTCCGATGCCACAATGACAGGTCGACCACGCACACCTCTCAGTAGGCCTGTCACCTTTTTATCCTCCCTGGCCTCGTTATCCGTAACGAGGACCAGCTGGTGTCCAATCACCACACCCTCAGAGTTTGGCAGCTTCCGTCTTCTGTCCATCACAATACCCTCCGGTCTCTACGCACCAATCTTAGAGCTGCGTAACGGAAATGACGCAAAACAAAAGATCCTGGTGATCTATTGAAATTTCAGGAATTACTGTCCTCATTCTCTGCCAGCATCACTGATGCAAAGAAAGCTTTCTACACTGACAAAATTATCAGCTCTACTGACTCTCAGAAACTATTTTCAACAATCAAAACTCTGCTCACCCCTCCATCTCCACCTCCTACCAACAATCTATCAGCTGACACCTTTGCCTCATTCTTCACTGACAAAGTGGCAGCTATAAGCAAACAGTCTACTCAACTGGCCACTCCTGAACATACACTACCACAAACTCCATCAAGCCCAACCATCTCAGGCCCTACTGCTTCATTTTTCTCTTTTCCCCCTGTCACTGAGAACTGTGTGTCCAAGCTTCTCACGTGCAGCCGCCCTACTACATGCCCACTTTACCCCATTCCCACTAAGCTGCTCCAAGCTATTGCTCCTACAGTAGCCGCAGCAGTCACACATGTGTTCAACGCGTCACTGATATCTGGTACATTTACCACCTCGCTCAAGCATGCTCAGGTTAAACCGCTGCTAAAAAACATCTCTTCCTTCAAATCATGTGGAGAACTACCGACCTATCTCTCTCCTCCCTTTTCTGTCCAAAATCATTGAAAAGGTGGCTTTCAAGCAGATC